GATAGCAATACTTGGCCGCAACACTGAAGCTCTTCTCCAAGTGCTGCCTACAGTACGCATGGTCGCTTGGGAAATGGTTATGTAGCTTGCCACTGAGGCTTGCATGTATTCTATGTGCAAAAAATCGGGTTCTTCATACACCGTTAACTAGCGAAGGCCTGCCCAGATACAGGGGACATGGGGATCATATTTTCTGGCTCTCTGAAAGTCCTGCTTGTGCGATGTCAGGAGGCCATCCGCATCGACAAGGGCTCTTAGCACACAGCATTAAAAGCACACCAACGTAATGCTGCTTGCAAAGGTCTCTGCCGCTTACAAAATGAGCTGACAAAGATAGTTGTGGGATGCCGAACCTCTAAGCCGGGATGGTCAGGTGCTTTGACGACATAAGCAGGTGCCCAATGCAGTGAGAACGTTAAACTTCTTCGGTGTTACCTGTCCCCCAAAACTTGGCCCCAGCCTTCATGGCCAAGGCGCAGCCTTCGGGGGCGATAAGGAGCTCTTGGATGCGGCGGCACTGGCAGGCTGACAAGTGACCCTTTACATTTATGGGCGACCCGAACATTGGGGTATCTAGCTTTGCAGATGACTTGGGAGCACCGAGAGTTCAACCACACCAGCCCCAAAAGCCGCAAAATCTCAAGACTGTATCTTGAGGCCTGCTGATCCAAGCTGATGCTATCCGGGCTCACCAAGCCCTTGCAGCAGTTCGGATCTTATTGCTCTGAGTTTACCTTAGATTCAGGCATTGCAGGGTGTTGTGTTGTGTCTTTGCGTTTGCGTGATGCGATGTTTCGGCTTCAGGTCTTCAACTTACTTCTTGAGCTGGACGTAGGGTATTCAGGGGACTGTGGTGTGGGTCTTAGGCTTCATGCTAAGAGGCTTGTCATCGTAGCCTCCGGGCAATGATGCAAACGGAGGTGAAGCGGCTTTGTCGGGCACGATACGGACAAACAAGCTTGCAATGAGGTCACTATAGACATGGAATCCAAAGCTCCACGGAGTGACCTCCAAAGATGCAGCGGCTTCTAACAATCACCTTCTGGCACGCACTTGCCAAGCCTTTTTGTGTAAAGGAATGTAGAAGGGCAATTTCTAAACGAATCTCGACATCAGACATGTCAGGTCACCATGTTCCCCGCCAAGTCCTGCGGGAGGTTCTCAACCCCCTAGCACTGGTCACGCTCTCCAATTTGTGCGTAGACTGCTGCAGCTGCATGTGCAGAGTAGAAGGGAGCCTGAAATCTCTCTTCAATGCTCGGCACGGAGAGATTCATTTCCCCTCCTCCTTGCGCAAGCCGGCCAACTCAGTAAATCAGGTGTGGATCTCTGGCAGGACGCCTGTAGACAACGGCAACCTACACAATCCCAGCCAAATCCCTGTACGCTTTTCTTGCAACCCCTCTACTCAATACGCTACTCAATACTCTCGCACCCTAATTCTGCAAGGCTGGAATTCCTCCGCCAGGGGTGGAGGAGATGGGACCTCAGATATCACATGCCTTGAAGCATTAGCGCCACCAGTCTAAAGCTTGACGCGTTTGCAGTGAAGAAAGAAACTACATGCTGAGACCTTTTGGATTCTAGATCCTGTAAAGGTCTACTACACTCCCTCTACCTTTCTGCTGACTTGCGCAGGGTCAATGGAGATTATCGTTACTGACATGTTCGGGGTCATCGGGTGATGACCATGGTTATGAGCATTGCCATTGTAATTGGTAAGGTCATTTGGCAGCCTTATCGTGGCAGCTTTTTCAGCAGCAGAACGCGTGTAACATGAAGCGTCGCAAACTTGCCGAGGCCGCCGCCGCCTCCACCAGAGCCTGCAGGAGTTTGGAGGGCAACTTTCGCAGTTTCTGGAAGACAGCATGCCAATTCCAACGAAAGGCTTCAAAGCAGGAGCACCCCGATGAAAGGAATCCTTCCATTTGGGTTGTGTTTTTGGACTCTGACTGCTTGGAGATTTCAATTTCGGCAATCGGCAGCAAGTTGACCTGGCCCCTGGCACGTCTAGAGTCTAGGTGCCTCACACTTGGAGGCTTCCAAACGCGCCCTTTCATTGAAGCATTTTAAAGGCGCCTCACAAACTGACGCCCGCAAGGACCCTCTGCACCGCCACCGCCATCAGCTCAGTTTCACTTGAATATGGAAGTTTCCGTACATTCCGGGTGGTGGGCTCTGCCAGTGTACTTGTTTTCTTTTCGCGATTTTCCACGTTGGATCATGGGAGTTGTACCGCTAGTGTCCCAACTCTTGGCGAAAGCTATGCTTTTGCCCATGTTACATGTTGTCATCCTGCTTTTCTGGCCAACTTCCTTGCTTCTAGACCTCAGGCGAATTCTGGGAAACCCAAGGGAGACGGATTCCACCACATCATAGCATGAATGGTTAGCTGCCGATATGTAGCAAGTGTTACTCATGGACTTTTTGTAGGACTTGTGTATATTCCTGACTCAATCTGCATAGAACTTCCGTTCTTAATCGCTAAGAAGGGTATCCGCAACAAGGCGAAAACCTCCATCCCAAGTCATCAACCGCAGCTACCCCTGTAAAGTTCGCATGGGGAACCCTCCAATAATCCCCTATGCCCAACAGACACGAAATAAGGTGGGTGACGAGAAAGATTCTCCGCCAGGCCCAAAAAGTCCAGAAGACTATCATTGCTTCCAAGCCCCAGAATGTATAAACAAGGTTTATCAGCAATGACAATAGCAATGACAATGACAAGGTGGTGGCAATAAGCAAGCTCCCTCTCCAACAAATCCCGATTGTTCTCATGGAGTGGTTTTGGCATTAGGTTTGGGGGCTACCAGAGCAGAGCCGCGGTCCAACGTTCATGAATCAATGTTCCCCCCCGCCCCCGCCCTCACTCCGTAGACCAAAATTGCAATACAAGTTGATAGTTATAGTCAGCTATCCATTAGTTTCCATGCATATCCATAGCCCTAAAAAGAACCCCGCACGTTCCTAGAGCTCCCTTCTGATTTTGAGAATCATATGCCGTTTTACGGACCCGAGGCCGGAGCCTCCAGTGGTGAACGAAGCACAGCTGACTCAGCAGGCTAAGCAGGCACCAGCTTTCACCCGTGATGCTCATCTGGGGGAGCCATCAAACATTGGGGAAGTTGTTGGGGGTGCGCATCGTGGGACCCTACACAATGGACATTGCCATCTGCCGCTTCTCGTAAGTGCAGTATTGAAAAAGTTCTTGGTTTTGATAATTAACATCCGCAAGGATTTACTGGTATTCTATGTAGGATCCCTGGGGACGGAGTCCTCACCTAAGGACCTAAGCGGTTCGTGCCAGAACTCATCTGATATGTCACTGGTTAGCTCAATCCCTAAACGTCCCAAACCCCACAAGCCAAGACTACCAAGCAGCTCTAAGTCTAAACCTCCGATGTCAAGTCCTGTAAGCTGCAACAATGCATGTGATACATGCTTCTCACAGGCAATGGCAGCGGCTGCTGTGCCTCTGCTCAAATATTTCATAAGAGAGGGAAGTATAGTCAAATTGATCCCTAAGAAATTTGCAAAAGATTTGCAAACTGGCGCCCATGACCGGGCTCCCCACTTTGTCTTCCTAACCTGCATGTCCCTTGTCTTTTTAGCAGGCTGCTCTGAGAGCATTTCCTTCGGGGTATGAGACCCCCTCGAAGAGCAGGGCCGGATTCCGTTATAGGATTTACTTCTCAGAGCAGCGCATCTCTTGGCCCTAGGGGTAAGATGGGTAAGACTTGAAGGGCTGGGTTGTTTTCTGTTGCTGAAGTGTTGAGGCTACAGCTTCCTCCATGCTTGTGGAGGGTCCTGCAGGCAGTTTACAGGGCGCAACGTCAATCAGAAATTCGGGTTGCACTCACATGCACATTGCCTGGGCTGCTGTTCCTGTTGCCAGCCAGGCCCTCGAGCCAACCACACTGAAAAGTTCAAGCCGCAGTCGCAGCGCAAATACTCCACCATCCTAGCACGCCTGGTCACCTTGCATGACCTCAAGGTCTGAAAAGCCCCGAACTACAGTGAGCTCAGGCCACGAATCTGCGGCTGCGAAAGCAGGTGCTGGATTGTGTCGAATTTTGTGGCGGATGTAAGACATTTTCAGCCAAGCCTACAGAAGGCGAGTGTTTCAAAATCAAAGGTGCTTCAGTGGGGGTCCTCAAAAAGCAGATGCGAGCATTTTGCTAAGATAATGATGGACCACTACGCCAGTTCCCTACTTAACTTTCCATGGCAAATGATTTCATTCCTCAACCGGCGCTGATTGGGATTGAAGCCAGGGCTAAGTAGTGCGCGCATGGTAACATGACGGAAGCAGCTCGGGGACCGTTGCCCCACTTTTTCCATTTTCCTCCGCATGTGATTCAAGGCTATCAAAGCAAACTCTTTGTGGAAAGGTGCCGCCGGCGCAAGTTCTTCCAGAGCAACCTCCACCGCTGGGAGCTCATGCTGCCTTCCATAGTAGCAACGGCCCTGAATAGCTGTCAAGAGTTGGGCAGCGTTTGGTCACTGGAAACCGTGATGGCTTTCTCTTTCTTCGGCTGAACATGCGAGCTGTCACTGAGACATTGGCAAATTCTGCCGGCATGCTAAAGATGAATTCAGATTGTTTTTGCTTCAGCGCCCGCAAGTCAGGCCCAGAACTTTAAAACGCCCTCTGACCATACACCTTCATGGGACATGCACATCGGCCAGTCAAGGACTTCGCAATATTTTTGCGAACAAAATTAGGCCACAAACCTTCACTTATCACTACCATCTTGTCTGGAGGTTCCGATGTTCGATACACCATATGGATACGTTACCCAAAGTAAACAACGCGTAAGATCAGACAAGGATCATGGACTCTGGCTCGCGGGGGTATTGCCAGCGCGCGCTAGTATACAAGGATCTCGTACAGAGAAGGCTATCTCATTCTTCCGGAGCCGTCTGTATCCCACTCACTAGTAGAGGGACATACCTAATCTTTGTGGCATTCGCAGCCGGCAAACATCTCGCATCTTCAGGGCACCATCCATCCCGCAGCCGCTGCCAAACTCGCAGGCAGCCTTGCGCAAGCTGGAGCTAACAATCTCATGCCATATCATATGCAATTCGGCATCATCCGTAGTGTTCATTTTTCTTGACCATGGCAAATTGAAATTGACTTGTAGTCCAGCCTCTCATTCTAAGTATTCAGGTTTCTATCTTTTAGCCTGAAGGGCTTTGGAGCCATGCTCCAAAGGATAATACTGGTCTCAACACGTTCTGTGAAAGAGCCTAAGTGTCACCCGCTCTGTTTGTTAGCTATTCACTGTCTACACTTCTGTTCCCTTGCAATTGTAGTTTCATGGTGGCTCAAGTGGCTACTCCTTATGCTCTAATAACGTACTAAAATTGCTGGTGCTGGTAGTGGTGTGCAGCTCCTCCTCCTCCTCCTGCTGCTGCTGCTGCTGGTGGTCTTGGTCTAATGAGAGCAATCCCAACAAGATCAGGAAATTAAAAAGGCTATTGACGGCTGCTACCCATCACAAATGATGAACGAGACTCTGTAAGATCAGTCTCGCATCCCAAGGGTGAGAAGCCCCCTAGGAACCAACAGAAGCACCCTGCCCTTAGCAATGCACGCAGTTGCCCCTTACCATCAACTTCAGAGTCCCGCACCAGACCATAGCGCCTGCTTCCTTGGCCGCGGTGCTGCAGAACATGGCCAACGTTCCACAGGCTCAGAGTTCGGCCTTGAGATTATAGGTTTCAGGGTTTGGGGCCAGGGTTTAGCTTAGCTTGTGGAGTTCAAGCGGTGGTTGCAGAGAGGTTGCTTGGAGCGTACTACAGGGGCTGTACCAGGAATTACAGCGGATTCGTTGCACTAGCTCTTTTTGGCACGAGGTTCTTGACTCAGATAGTTCTTCCAGGCATAGGCGGCCCGTTTTGTGGCTTCGTTACACTTGGAATCCCCATGCTCAGGGGCTATACAGTTTGCACAATTTATCATACATTTCGCAGTATGTTCACAGGGGAGGTTTCGCTATTTGGAGGCATTCGTGGGGACTACATATACGTACTCCTTTTTAATGAGAATTGCAGGAAGGAATGGAGCGAATCTAGAAGGACCGCTTGCGTACAGCTTCGCGAAGAAGCAAGGAATTGAGCTGAAAGTGATAGCTGGTCAAGACCAGCTCTGCAATCCACGGCTCAGATATGCACGTTGCAGTATTGGTCCTCGAATCAGCAGTTGTCGCCGCATACCCTTGAATCGTAGGTAGCCAAGTATTCAGAGGCATGCGTCATCTGCGCCTTTTTGTAACGAGCAGTGACAGTGGGCCTGGTAGCAGCAACCTGAAACATTACTGACTTAGGTACAGGGACTCCAAAAAGGGATCCCCAATTTCTTCAAGCCCTATGTTGGGTTTCTGGGCTCTTGTATACGTGCCCGCCATCCCCGCAGCATTCTGCACTCTGTCTTTCGGAAGGGAGTGGCAAGTCAGGTTGAGCATTGGCTTCTACCAGACTACCCATGCTGCCACCAGGTTTGAAATTATTTGTACAGATTTAACTGTTTGGTCTTATTCTTCTTTAGCAAATTAAGTCTCAGAGGCTGGCTCGACAGGATGTTGACTGGCTGTATGACACTTTGAGCCTGGCCGTTGCCCTTGACTCCTCTGAAAGCTGTTAAGTGCAGTTAAGTGCCCTCCACTCCAGCTAGTGCCTCTCAACAGGCGATGATGGGACATGGCATGCTCCTTCAGGCAGGGCCCTCGGAAATAAAACTGTTGACGCTCAGATCATATCTTCTGTACTTTCAAGGTCATTAGTAATCCAAGGACAGGCCCTAAGGTCAATGCTCAAAAAAGTGACAGAAGACTCACTGCTCTTGAGGCGCAAAGCCCGCAGATGCCCAACATGCTGCCGCCAGCACTGATCTCGGGGTTAACCCTTTCTCTTTACCATCAGGGGTGGATTGCTGTTGCTCCCATCGGCCTACACTCAAGATATGAAGGCTCCAAGCAAACTACTGACTATTTGAAGTTTCAGCCTTGCAGTCGGAGTCGCGAAGCCTTGGGGAGCTGTATGGGGTTGGTAACGGAACCCCTCAAAATTTGCAAGTCAAGGAGGGCTTGCTGTGGCATACATTAATTCTTCCGCATTGGAAGCATGAACCGAGGGCACCGCCCAGCTGGAAACTATTATAATGGGATAATGGAGAAGAAAATGGAAACTACAGGAATTATAGGGATTATATAGGGTTTATATAGGGATTATAGGGGTTATATTGGGGTAATATTGGGGATCATGGAAAATAAAATGG